CACGGTCAGGGCACCGGCAGCAACGGCACAAAGAGTGACAGAGGCAACGGCAGCACGCCCTTCAGCGGCAGCGCCACCTCAGCGGCACATGGATGGCGCACGGAGGGGAGGACGCGGGCAGGCGACAGCAGGGGCGTTGCAGCAATCTGCAGCACTCGCCGAGACTGCTGCAGCGGTGAAGGTAGCTATGCGTGGCCTGAAGGTAAACCTGCCCAGGCAACTTGGCATGGGGACAGACCACACAGCACTACCGATACCGTGGCAGCAGCACTACGCTATCCGCATGGCACCACAGGCCCCACCACAGTACGGACGGCCAGCAGCACGCACAGGCACGAACACATCACAGAGAGCACCAACACAAGCACGGCAGGGGGGGCACAAGGAAAGAGTAGGACAGCGAGGTGATAGGCAGACGGAGCGGCCGGGAAGCACCCAGTTGGGTCAGGGGCAGCCTGTACAGACAGAGCAGCTACCAGACCCCGGGCATGCAACCGAACGCGCGGCTCAGCCGACGCAAGGCACGGGTGACTATGCACAGGTAGCACAAGCGCAAGGCACACAACATGCCAATCCCCCCGCCCAACCTGCCCCGCAGGCATCCACACCAGCAATGTTCCCCGCATACACCCTCATGGCCGCCCCACCACTTCACAGCATGTACCACACATATCCCTTCACAGCCCAGCAGCCTGCCCTGGCAAACGGTAGCCAGATGATGCCCCACATGCAGCCCTTCCTCTTGGCTCAGCACGTCATCCCCTCTCAGCCCGCGTTGGCACCTGCTCAGCCCGCACTCTCAAACATATCAGTCATGTCCTCAACACCCGCACCACCAGCATATGCCTATGCGCCTCTTGCTCCCCCTCCCCAGCAGATCACCCAAGGATTTCAAGCAGCCCATTCCGCTGTGAGAATCGGACAGCCAGAAGGAGCGGGGACACATTCTAATCTCAACAACACCTCTGCCGCCCATGCTCTGCCGGTGTATTTTTTAGGCTGACTTCCCCCCTCCACCCCTCCCCAAACAGCACGGACCACACTACTCGTCTACGCACTTCCACAACCAATAGCCTCACCCAAAGGTACGCCCGCATGACCCTGCCTACCTCAAACCACCAGCAAAACCACTGGGAGACGCCATCACACATCCCCTACCTACAATCCACCGCTACCTCAAAGCTACCGCGTGCAGCAAACCAACCCACCAACTGTCCACTGAGACCCTCTGACACCCCAACCACCAGCACCTCGCCCACCACACCGCAGTCTACAGCGGGTGGGAGCAGCCCCAGCCCTGAGGTGAGCGCCCCTCTAAACGCCTGTAAACGACCCCGCTCAAGACCCAGAAACAAACAAACGTCGAAACCACTGACCCCCGCCCAAAAACGTCTCCTTCGAACACCTCAGGTTATACTGCAGGATGATCTCAATTCTAAATTCATCCACAACAGATCCGCACTAGCCCTCTCACGCACAGAACTTGAAGGATTGAGCCTAGGGCTCTCATTCATACCGACCCCTTCACCCCCCACAGAGCAAATTATCTTGAGCGCACTCTCGAGGTTCACGAGAACTGTGAGGCTCACCGCACAATTCTCATCCGACAAGCCAGCTCCACGCTTCCGTATTCGCAACCCATTTTGGATGCCCGACCCTGCTCCCCCTGCTATAGAGCGATACATCGCTGAGGTGGAGAGGAAGGTGATCGACCGCCTCCCACTGATGACGCGCCGCGCTCGTAGGAACATGAACGAGCAAACGTTGCGGTGTTTAAAAAAGTTGGGGAAGAATCCAAAGGTAGTGGTTAAGCCAGCGGATAAGAACCTAGGTCTCGCCCTGTTAGATGCATCGTGGTATCGAGACGAGGCGCTCAGACAACTATCCGACAATAAAACGTACAAGGAAGTCGCAACGGTACCCATGGACAACCTGTGCGAGGACCTCAACACTTGGTGCTCAAGGTACAAAGATAGGTTTCCCAAGGAAACCATCGAGTACATCTTACAGCCGAGAGTTGAACTTCGCACAGAAGCGGGCTGCGAGCATGACACCGAGATACACCCTACACAATTTCGAGTCTGCAGATTCTATCTGCTGCCTAAATTACACAAAGACCCTGTCAAAGGGAGACCGATCTGTTCCTCTACCCTTTGGATATTTGAGCATGCCAGCCAGGTGCTAGACCACTATCTGCGTCCGCTGCTGGCTTTGGCACCAGCCCACCTGCCAGACTCAATCACTCTGCTGCACACACTGCGTGCCCTTCCAATACCCGAGCATGCCATTTTCCTCACATACGATGTTGAGAGCCTCTACCCATCAATCCCACTCCAGCAAGGCCTAGCTGCCATGCGGGAAACGAAAGATAAATTCGTACGCATGCATAGCTATCCAGTTTGGCCAGAGACAGACACCGCCAAGCAGCTCAGCGCGTGTTGTGAGCTGCTAGAGCTAGTCATGACACAGAATCACCTTCAGTTCGATGGGAAGTTCTACCGACAGATCTGCGGTACAGCCATGGGTACTCCAGTAGCAGTGATCTATGCAGTTCTTTTCATGAGCTGGCTAGACGCTCGCATGGAAGAGCAGTACCCGTCCTTGTCGAGGCATGTGCTACTACACAGGCGCTATATCGACGACGGACTGGTAGTCTGGACCGGATCGCTAGCAGAACTACACCAATGGATAGAAGGTTACAACAGCCTCATGGACGGCATCCGCATCACTACAGAAATCAGCGCCACATCGTTCACGCTACTTGACATCACCTTCACCAAGGGTAAGCAGTGGGAGTCGACGAGAGGGGAAGATGCGAGAGGCGGTTTTCTAGACACCTCGGTGTACCAGAAACCGATGAACGTCTATCAGTACTTCCCTTTCCGATCGGCGCACCCGCGACACTGCAAACGAGGATTCATCATTGGTGAGCTATACCGATACCTCCTACGGGAGTCATCCGAGGTAGGCTTCCAAATGATGAAATCATCCTTCGCAGCGCGTCTGCGAGCGCGCGGTTACCACTCGAAATTCATCCAGCAGATCTTTGATGAGGTACAGTACAGCGACCGCAATACACTCCTGCAACAATCAGAGAAGGGTAAGCAACGAGACGGCAGAGTGCTGCCTTTTGTGCTCGAATACCACCCTAATCTCGAACACCCAAAGGTGAGGTCTCTACTCCGCTCGGAGATGAGTAAGGCAGCACTAGAGACCTTGTGCCCGAAACAGCCCTTCCTCAGCTTTCGTGCAGCACCTAAGCTAAGGAGCATGCTAGTCCGAGCTGCGTTCACGAGTGTTGACGCTCGAGATACCTCGGAGTGTAGCGCCACGTGAGCGGCGTCGGCAGAGTCTGTTGTACTTTGGTGCCTTGTTTGTCACATTTCGTTGCTGGGGCTGCGCCCCCCCCAAACCCCCCCCCCCCCCCCCCCCCCCCCGCTTCTCAACACCTGACATCCCACCCCCCGACGCCATGGTAGCGCCACGTGAGCGACGTCGGCAGAGTCTGTTATACTTTGTTACCGTGCTTGCCCTAGATCGTTGCCGTCCCTTCCCCGCTATCTTCTCGCATTGTTTTCAAAACAATCGGGGGGGGCTGCGCCCCCCCCGAACCCCCCCGCTTCTCAACACCTAGCATCCCCACCCCCCGACGTCATGCTATTCACACTTTCTCCTCAAAATAATATCTCTATTCATGCATCCCGCCCCTCCCGCCTGCCCCCGCAGCTCAGGCCGAGAACCAACAACGGTCTCTCACACGTTTCTCACACTGTCCCTCCCTCTGCCCCCTTGTCCCTAAGCCCGCCTTCTCCCCGCTACCTACTCACTGCTGCACCAAGTATACACAATGCAACATCCCCCCTCATTCCCGCTATACGCCCCTTATACACATCGCAACACCATCACCACGCTAATGGCAGCATATCGCCTCATCTACATTACATTTGGGCCGTTGCGCACTCGTCATCACATCACGTTGCACAGCGGGCACGCTTGGGTGCACACACAGAGATAGTAAAGAACAGCACTGTCACGACAGCCCACCGACGGTATGCCTGTTGCCTGGGTGGGTTTGCATTCATGAAAAATACGAGCCACGCATAACTATATTCACCCTGCGACTACCCCCTGTTTTTCCCTGCCTAGTGTCTTTCTCGTCGCTCGCCCCACTCGTCGCGTGCGTTTTATTTCCCCGCAGGACCCAACTCCCCAAGAGCACGACACAAGAACAAAGGAAATATTTTTATATTTCCCGACAGCATCGACCAACTGCCTAAATATTTATGTAGATGATTATATCATTTTTATAAATGTTTAGGTTAGCTGTAGGTGCTGTACATTTTCTTTGGGGTGCTACTACAGGGGATGGGGCCTTCTCTCTCAAGCCTCTCTTCCCCTTTTAGGTTTGATTTCGCCACTCTAGGGTTTGTTAGCACTGAGGATGGCCACTACCTGGCCGAAATGCATTTGCCTCGTTTTTTTTTAACAGCCCTAGAGCGTTTTCTTAGCTTAAAAACGGGAAGAAAGGTTAAAATAGGCTTTTAATTGCGCATCTCACGGAGCAAATCGCGGCCACGGTCGCGTTACCGCACTGAACCGCAGTCGCATCTTCTCCTGGCGAGTTGTTCCTTGGCGAGAATTTTTTTTCTCGCCAAGTCAAACTTAGTTTTTTTTACCCTCCCCCCCCCCCCCAATTTCTCGATTTTGACCACCCGAAGCGCGCATTTCATCGCGCGCGCTTCGGGGGTCTTTTTTGTACACCCCGATCCAACCCCACCCTCCCTCTAACACCCCTCGACACCACCTCCTCCTCACGCTCCGCACTTCGCGCCACTTAGGAAACCCGAGCCGCGCCAGCTCTGGCGCGGCTAAGCTAGTTGCTGCAGCTAGGTTTTTTAATTTTAAAATAAACCCTAAACTACGCCGCTCGACGAACAGCAAATCGAGCGAAGAAACCGGAGGCCGGCAACTAGTATGACCGCGGTTTACCTAGGCACGCG